GTTGGCAAATGTACAATACAATGTATGCTTTAGTATTAAACTTGTGGAATAAACTTATTTAATGTTTCATTATTCATCATACATTTTTTCATATACATACCCGATAAACAGGATGTTTTGATAAGACAAAAAACTCATCAAGGCCATTTTGTAAGCTTGTTAATTACAAAAAGATAAATAATCTTTGAAGTATATTTTTTCCTTTTTATTTTTATGTATAGTCCAAAAAATTGGTAAACAATACCAATTTTTTATTTAAATGCAATAGAGTGAATAAGTCTTTGTTACTTGATATGATATAAACTCTTCAATTCAGAGATCTGGATCTGAAACTAAAATAATTTTAAAAACATAAGGTACATTATTTATAATAATATAACATCTGATTAAAAAAAAAAGAAACAATGAAAATTACTTGGAAATAACGTTTTTCCTATATATTTAACTTTTAGAATGCTGTATTTTTGTAATATATAAACAACTCACAATGGATAACTTCCAGCTTGATGTTATCTGATTCGACTCTGTCTCACTACTGCTGATGCTGTCTGTGCATACTGCTAAGCGTATAAAACGTTATCTCCAAGTAGACAATTATTACGAATGCATCAGCAAGCTTAAGTGGGAACATGAAAAATAGCAATATATATTGTACAACTTACTATTATATAATGAAAATAGTAAATATGTAATGTACCACCTGTTGTTATACAATGCAGTGCATTACATACAAGTACATATTACATATTAAATAATAAAGCAATGGCACACATTCAAAGCAAGGTCATCCATATCTCATAGTCATATTACATTATCTGAAAAGAGGGCATGTGGTTTGTGAATATCCATAAGAAATGACATAAGATTGCATTGCACAAGTACATTTGTTCCACTTGTTATAAATTATTCTCTTTGTTAAAATATTAAAAGAATACTAAGTTCATAAAATTCACTATTTATAAAATAAATGTACAATTTACTCACATAATTGTACAAAGATTGCACTTAATTTTTATACTTAAAAATAAAACAATTTTATCCACGAATTATTACTTATTGTTGATAAAAAATATTAAAACATTTATCCTATTTCACTACTGTATGAATCACATAATTCGTCAGAAAACTTAATATATGCTTTGGATGCCTCTGACAGGTATATCCTTGATCTTCCAAGAAGTGCCAAGTACTATGAAATTGTGTTTACACTGTCGAGAATGCCGGATGCAAAATTGAATGTCATCGGGTTAAGAATCAATTACAGATTAAGAAACCGATACGTCTGCAAACTATTCGAATGGCAACTGCGCGCGGAATTTCCGTGTGTGAATGTTTCCACGAGATTATCATCCCGCGAGTGTTATTATGAGTGCCGCGTGAACAAATACAAAAGGCATCCCGGCTTTTTGCAGATTCAGTAGATAGCAATCGATGGCTCTTGCAGCGAGTGTATGTGTACGCACCGGTTCGAGTATTGAGGCTTTCTCCATTCTGCTTTATAATGCACTGACGTATATGCATGGTAGACATCACCGATAAGTCCATATCACATCGGTACAGGAAACGTCGTGCGCGGAGGAGGTGACGACGGCGATACGGCGTCCGAAATGATGCCTGTATGCGTGTCGTATCGCGTAATGCCAAACACAACCTCCTCATTATCGCCAGAACCAAATTACATACTCGTCAGCATTATTCTTCTCGCTCACCGCCAATCGTCGCCTGGTGCGAGCAATCGTTATTGCGCGACGTTTCCAGCATTTATCCGTGTTTTCCGCGATTTCGATACTCTATTATTATGCGAAGGCTAATTAGATGGTAGCCAATGACATATGCGCGATTCGCCACTCACCGAGAGCGACAATTCGACGATGCTACGCACTTGCAGTAATTGTCCTACTGCACTTTGTCGTCGATAACAGTGCAGTCGGCTAACGACCCTACGATTTACGTTTTAGTGCGTTCCGAAACTCATCGAATAAAAAAATGTTATAACCTTCTTTTTTTCTAACCAAGCGTATATTATTTTTTCAGGCTTTACCGTCTTTACACACATATACAGCGCATCGTCTCGCGTATTTCTCGCATTTATATAAATCAATATGGCTGTGTTATGTGTGACGGATTGACGTTGACAGAAGAGCTGACGTATTACAGTGTGAATAGTGATAACGTTATTAATCACCACCTGCGATGACTGCTAATTATTATTTCGCAATCGTTGGCCATGCCGATAACCCGTTATTTGAAATAGAATTCAACAATGCCGGGAAAGACGCGAAGGTTAGTTTTAAAGCTTGTGCTTTGATTTTGCGTTGATGTATATATTGGTTTTTTTTTTCCAGAAAGAGGATCATTCGCACTTAAATCAATTCATTGCACATGCAGCACTCGACCTTGTGGATGAACATACATGGAAAACAACAAACATGCATTTGAAAGTCGTGGATAAGTTTAATCAATGGTTCGTCAGTGCGTTTGTGACAGCAACTCACATTCGATTTATCATGGTGCACGATAGTAAGAATGAGGATGGAATAAAGAATTTTTTTAACGAAATGTATGAAACTTATATAAAGGTAATTATTATTTCTATGATATAGAATTATCCGTTTCCATTTAATTATGCATATATTCTGTAATAGGTTTATTACGCTAAGATACTTATGCCAATATCTTTCTTTTTCAGTACTCTATGAATCCATTTTACAAGTTAAATACTCCTATTAAGTCTGCAGGATTTGAGAAAAAAGCTCAGTTATATGGAAGAAAATATTTATCTTCGTAAATTTAACAACAGCTCTTAGTAAAAGTTTTGCAAAAATAAGGCTGTTTATAATTTATGTTTCTATGCTACAAAATGCTATCATCAAAAAGTCATTAAAAATCGTTAATTAAAAAGTCATTAACAAGTCAAAAGAGATATCCCATTTAAATGTGTCTATTTTTTTCATTTTTTATTGTTCAATATTGAATGTTTATTAAAAAAGTATAATATAATTGTTTATATTTTATATACAATAAGTTAATTGCAATGTAATTATTGAATAAAATTTGATAGTTTATATGTAATTTGCATGAAACATTAACTGCATTTTCTATTCCAATTCTAAATCTTGTATCTGAAATTTAAAAAAACAGAATTAGAACAATTGTTAAATGTAATGAAATACATATGCGCATTACTTTTCTTCATACCTCTTGTACTTTTTGCATTTCTTGAGTCAACAAATTATCTAATATTTCTTGGAATCGCTGCCTCAGTTTGACATTTTCAATATTAGCAATTTCAATCTCTTGTTGTTGCCTTCTTTGTCGCAATGCTGACAATTCCGCGTGAAGAGTAGCAAGACGCGTATCTATATTTTTTACAATCAGATAGAAGTTAAAGATTTATATCGTCCTTACAGGTGTAACTAATATTTGTTTAAAATTACCTTTAGACACAGATACCGATGGCGATTCTGTATAATTTTCTGTAATAATATAATCAGCATGAAACTGCTCTAATTTTTGGGCTTTTGACGGAACAGTCTCGTCTTGCTTTTCGGTTTCTACATCGCCATTGTTATCATTTTGGAACATTTCTTTACTGAATTCAGTAACTAATCCGCTACTTGTTGTTGCATTGTTACTTGATTTTTCAGAATATGTAGCTTGCATTGAATTAGAATCTGAAACTCTACTATCCGCAGAACGACTATTCTCATCAAGTTCCATCACATTTATGTTTGGTTCTTCATCATCGTCTTCGCTGTCACTTACGGGTTCACCAAATATATCATGTTCAGCTGGAATATGAATTATAAAATAAAAAATTCCTGTTTTTATAAGCAATATTAAAATTACTTACCGACATCCAGACTTTGAGATGTGTTTCCATTAATACTTTCCCTTTTAGTTTTAACTGTACCAGACGATGATACTTTACTTGGTTTTGATTGGTCTTCATCTTCACATATCACTTCCCATTTAACATTAACGGCATCATTGTCTACTCGTAACAAACGTTTAACTTCTTTCTCGATTTCTGGTGCCTCCACATATTTTTTTTTCAAAGTTTTTCTGAATCTCCGGCGTCTTACATTTTTAGTAGGTGGTGTTATACCGTGAGGCCAAAGAAACTTTTTATCAACCTTATTTGGATCTTTCTTTTTCTGCTTAACAGGAGATTCCTCATCTGTCGCAGTATGATCATCCTCCTCTTTGCATATTAGCATCTGCAGCAATATTATAGAAAAAAATAATGTAATAATATTGTATAAACATTTAATTGGATAATTTATTGACTCGAGAAATGTAAAAAGTACACAAGAGATGTAACAAAAATAAATTATATATATATAATTTTCTTTTCATTGTTGTTAATAATTATTCTATCTTTATTTTTATATCTTTATATCTTCATAGCTTTTTATCTTACTTTATCCAGTCTTTTGTTACATTGTAAAATCTTTCTCATCTTACCTGGCATATATCAGCAGTTTTGTAAAAACTTTTGTTATCAATAGTTTTTAAAGATTCCACTATTGTTGGTAAATCCACAACCTAAGCAAGAATATTTTTGATAAATAAATGTCCAATGATTTCAAGTGAACAATGTGATAAATGATAACAACAAGATCAACCTTAGCGTGGAGTAACCAGTGGTCAAATTTAACTTCACCATAGCGCATATCATTCTCTAATTTTATAGTTAATCTGTCTTTTAAAGGCAAACTGCTACGTAATGCTTCTCTTAGTACTCTGGAAGGTTCCTTAAAGAGAAAAAACAATTGATTGCTTATAATATTGAACTTTTAATCAATGAAAAACTAATTGAATCTAAATACGAGGTTATAACATTTCAATGCGATAAACATACCGGTGGCAACCGCATAACAAATTGACTCTCCAATTCAACTTGCGGTTCATTGCGATTTTTATAATCAGGATTAGGATGACGATTCATCTTCTTCGATTTTTTATACGACGAAATGACTGAATCTTACAAACGCGACGATAATGCGAGCATACATAATAAAAAACATGTATCAAATAAGTATTAGAGCAGCACTAGCGCTCGCGGCTGTTAAAAGAATGTCTGTGCGAAGTGCGGAGATAATTAAAGAGCGGTGACATTACTAATTGCAGATCACATAATATAAAAAATTTCAAAGACCTGATGATAAACTTCTTGGTGTCTTCTAAACTGCGCTTCGCAAAACCTCCTATAACAATTCTCGCAAAAGACAGGCCAGACATTCGTATATCACCTGATGCTGCTTGTGTAAACCATCCCTCGAGTAACCTTATCGAATCAGAGAATCGCGTTGTGATATGATAAGAGTATCGGTTAAGCGCAATAATATTATATTATATTTTTACAAAATTATATTTTATAGTTATATATACATCAGTTTAAAAATTCTATGTTTGCATTTAGAGTTGTCTGACAGATGTAACTCTGAAATACGTCGCCAGAGAACGCTTAATCGTGTACTTTGTTTTTAGCAATAGCCAGAAGACGCCTAATCACGTGCTCTGGTGTCAGTGAGAGGACGCGATTAGGCGTTCTCTGGCTGAAAAAGTTGAAGGACGCAAGTGTAGCTTGTCTTGCTCCGTTTGCGTTACAGCGCATGTGCGGAATTCGTCCCACTATTTTATAATGTTCCGCGCGAGCGAGTGACAGGTCTGTCTCGAGCGCAAGACGGCCGTAACCAGCCGTAACAACTGGCCGTGTGTAATAGGGAGAGCGGAATAAAAACTTAATTTCTCGATGCCTAGAACCGTAGTGAGTCATCGTGAAAGTGTGAGATCATCGTAGAGCGACAACTGCGAGGAAAACCATAGACATCATGGAAGTACTGGATCCGAGCGTCTCTAGGGACGATCAGCCCCTCTGTATCAACGATTCTCTCGAACAAGGTCCGTCTGATTTCTAAAGCTACATCCGCGTACCTGTACACTTACCATTTGCATAATTACATATTGTTCTCCCGCAAATGACAGTGTTTGTGTCGACACAGTATCGCGGTACATTGTTTGGAAACAAAGGGATGATAACGATGTTCACGATGACGCAAAAGGCGCAGTTGACCGTTGATATTACGGAAGAATATAATTTCGTATTTTTATATGATTAATGACAGCTGATGATATCAAACGTTACATCATAACTATCTTATATTTCTCTGCAAGAAATGTCAAGGTTTTAGATTAAAACATATCAGATATTTTAGATATATTAGATTTATTTTTTATTGACTAAATTTACATATATTTATATTTCGTTTTCAATAAATGCTGTTTCAAAGAAATAAATAAAAAATTAACGATTCTCATTTTGAAAATAGTAGTAATGAGAGGATTTGTATGTATCTGCTATTAAAATCTTAGATGAATTTGTTTCCAACTAATGTACTTCAAAAACCAACCAATATATATATATATAACTTGGTACAAATTAATGCTTTTTTTTTAAATACCGACTGTATTATAACCAAAGATGTATTATGCATCAAAACATTCAAAAAGTTTTTGAATTGTTAGGTTTAAATAGAAGAATTCTTTAATAAGAATTCTTTTTCAAGATTATTGACAAATAATATATTTTAATTTCTTTGCTAACAATGTACTCATATTCTTAATAATAATATTCTTTCAGCTAACAAATCGCAGTTTCCAGCAGACACTAAATCATGCATAAAAGCACGCCATACATTGGGTTTCCTTGGTTTTCTCGGCTTTGCTCTTGTATATGCTATGAGGGTCAATTTATCAGTAGCCATTGTCTCTATGGTTAATCAGACAGCGATACCACATACTGATGACAATGATACTAGCGATGTTTGTCCTAAAACCAAGCCAATAAATGGGACTTTTATACCGGTAAATATATTTTATTCTAAATAATTAGTTTAGTTTTATTACATTACATTATTTTGAAATTTTACGATCTGAAAGCTATTATGTATCATTGAGATATTAATTATCATCTCATGTGTCATTCAAACTATCACTCTTTACGTGACTGTGATATATAAACCTGACGCACGTATGTTGTATTATGACACATTTCTTTGTATTAATATATGGTATATGATATGGTCTGTCTACATAAATATTTTTTATAGTTTTTTGCTTTAATTTGCACTAAGATACAGTATATAGTTTCCGTTTTGATTTCAGAGTTAAAAAGTTGAATCTCTTCTTATGAATAAGTCTATTATATTGTAATATTTTAAATTATTTTATAAATTAATATTAATTTTTTATATTTCAGAGCGCAGGAGAATTTGCTTGGGATGAGAAGACACAAGGTATTATATTAGGAGCATTCTTCCTTGGATATGTCATTACAAACGTTCCCGGTGGCAGGATGGCTGAAAAAATGGGAGGCAAATTAATTTACGGTCTGGGAGTATTTCTGACTGCTGTTCTGACTGTGATAAGCCCTTTTGCCGCATACTGGGGTTTGGTACCATTCTTAGTTGTACGAGTTGCAGAGGGATTTACCGAGGTAAACATTTCGATTTCATATTACTTTTTACAATATATGCAAAATTATGTGCACTTTTTTCATAATATTATATACATAGGGAGTAACATTTCCCGCAATGCATAGTATGTTAGCACATTGGGTACCTCCGCTAGAAAGAAGTAAATTTGCTGCTATAGTCTACGCAGGTAATTTGTTTCTACCTTCAATAGCCACATATAAATTATCTTGATTATAAAGAAATAATAAACTTAAAAATACTTGTGATATTTTTCTCAGGTTCGAATTTCGGAACTGTTATTTCATTACCGGTGAGCGGCTGGTTATGCTCCTTAGAATTATGGGGTGGTTGGCCTCTTGCATTTTATTTATTTGGAGGACTCGGTCTGATGTGGTATGCGTTCTGGTTGATATTCATATACGATACTCCTGCGCAACATGCGAGAATTGATCCTTCTGAAAAGGCGTATATTGAAGCTAGCGTTGAGAAAAAAGACGAGGTCAGTATTATGTTTAATATGTAAATATTTGTGCGAAAATATTGCTGCATTTAGTTTAATAAGTTTATAACTTAACAATAGGATGATGATCTGGGAGTACCATGGTTCTCTGTCTTCACCTCTCTGCCTATATGGGCCATTACTATTACGCAGTGCGGGCAATCCTGGGCCTTTTACACTCTCTTGACCGAGCTGCCGACTTATATGGACAAAATTTTGCATTTGAATGTACAACAGAACGCATTTCTTTCGGCGTTGCCTTACTTGAGCGCCTGGTTAGTAGGACTCGGCATCTCGAGCTTCGCAGACGCTCTTCTCGCTCGTCGAATGATCTCGCCTTTGGCTTCATTTAAATTATGGAACACGGTGGCCTCATTGGGGCCCAGTCTCAGTTTTTTGGGTGCTATCTGGGCTGGATGTGACCGCATGACGGTGATGCTGATGCTTGCCGGACCGGGCTCTCTTCAGGGCGCGGTGTACGCCGGAAATCAGATGAATCATATCGCGTTGGCGCCACGTTACGCGGGTACCTTGTACGGATTGACAAATGCAGCATCAAATGCATGCGGTTTCTTGGCGCCATACGTTATTGGCAGTATAGTACAAGGACATGTTAGTATCTATCGCGTTTCTGGCTTCAAATATTTATTGAGATATAGATGTATGCATTTTTTCCGGATTTTACAGGAAACTCTTGCACGTTGGCATATGGTTTTCTGGATGGCAGCGGGAATAAATATGGCTACTAATTGTTTCTACTTGATGTTTGCATCTGCCACTGAACAGCCGTGGAGTAAAGGCGGAAGTTGATGACAAGGTCGCATTAGAGGTGCAATATTAAATGTGGATAATAATGTATTGTTTAATCATGTTGCACACAGTACATTTTAATTTGGCTAATTCTATAATTCAGTGTAAGTATTACTAATTATTTTCTCTAATTTTTTAATTATTTTAATTATTTTCTAAAATTCTGCTCCAGTATTAATTGTGAGGCAATGTATAGAATGATAAATGATGATTGAGTCTCGATATTATCGATTGATTCCGACAAATGACGTAGATAAGTGTGCTCTGTGACAGACGATTGGGATTGATTTACATATATATTCCTCCCCCATTTTGTTTCGCCACTTTATCGATACAATCACAGTACATGTTGGATACATGTGAAAATATCTGCAATCCCATGAAGAGAAATTAAATAGATATAAATTATTAACATTTACACGACGTGCGCTTTAGGAGATACCGCGATCGATGGTGTAGCCAAGAAGAAGATGATTCTATAAATATGTGCAAAAATAAGCATGGTCGAAAATGTAGAACAAAATTATCAATTTATAAATTTATCCGTTTAGTTTTGCACATAGAATTATTTTTATCGGCTGTACCATCAGTTACGAAACATCGATGGACGCAGATAGAGAAAGCATTTAATTTTAAAAATATATGCAAGTTATGTATATGTGATAACTTGCTGAAAAGCAATGGAAAGAATTATATTTTTTTATTTGTAATATTTAAAAAAAAGATCTTTGTTGTTACCTCTAAATATTTTAAGATCGAATTACTTTAAAATTGAGAAGGTATTATTTATTTATAATACCAAAGTATAAGAGAAGCTACTATATTAATATAAGTGAAATTTATCTATCCAGTCTTAATATATCATTGACATATATATTTCTAATAGTAAAAGGAATGCATAATAATATGTGCGATATAAACAAATAAATGACTTGGTCGTTGAACAGAGAAGATTAATTACATATGTAATTCTTCATATATCAAATTTTGTTCTAAGTACCAAAAATGAGATAAATAGAAATCATTAGCGATTGTATCTAGCATGACGAAAAAGTAATCGTATGAAATAATATATTATGTATATTATACAATACATCTTCAATCTACCTAACAATCTTTCTAAAAATATACGAAAATTTGTTTAATGGTATGTGCAAGATGATGATGTTATCGCGTTTTAATTTATACAAAATATCGTAGGAGTAGCCTTGTGTGCAGATAATTATATAAAAGTTTTATCTCTGAATTTAGCGATCGTGTTTAATAAGCAATGACAAATAAGCGTACAATAACAATAATCGATTATTTATATACAACTTTTTTTAATCATTACCCATTGTATAATCGCCCATTCCTTCAATAAATTTTGATGTAAAATGTATATTATATATATATATATATACATATATATACATATATCATTGTTTCTATATATCGTTCAGTTAAATTTTTCAAGATAATAATCTGTTTATTATTATCCATTGGAAGATAATAAAAGATTTATTTATTTATATATATTTTTATTATTATGCATTGTGCGAGCGCGCGTGATTCATCAATCGTTTTTCGCGCGTTTAAGTATCATGGCGTGCTACCGACAGATGGCATGTGTTGTCTAAAAAGTCGACGCTCCGTAGTCGAACGCTTTCAATCAGCACATCCTCATTACACCAGTGCATAATTTTCATTATCCGGTCCAATTGTTCTGCGAATTTATCTGCACGATTACCATTCACAGTTTATGATGTCCTTTGTTACAGGATAAAGGCGAGTAAGCGATTAGCAATTGCAACAGGTATACTTATTTCTTGTGACAAATGTTCATATAAATCGTAATTACAATTGTAGAAAAAGTACATAAATGTATATTACAAAGTACGCTAAAAATGTGTACGTTGCGTATATTAACGCGCTTGAAGCATTACATGTGCTTTTAAACAGAATTAAATCTTATCCGTTGAAAAATCGTCCTAACGAATTTATAACAAAGTGGCGAAAATTGCCTCACTATCACAGCCAACTCGAATGTAGCGAACGTTACAGACAATATGTTAGTAAATTGCAACGAAACGTGATTCCTCCCCCGTCTTATTATCGCATAATGTATAACGATTGTATAAAACATGTAATCAATTTCTAAAAACGATATACTGAAAATATCGGTTGCATTCAGCGATCTAAAAGAAAAAAAAAGAAGAGAGAGAGAGAGAGAGAGAGAGAGAGAGAGAGAGAGAGAGAGAGAGAGAGAGAG